TTCTTTTTTTTTATAATATATGGCATTTCTAAAATATTTTAATGCAATATTTTTGAAAATATTTTATAAATATTCACAAAATATTTGTGAAATACTTCAAATAATTATGAACAATTTTTTTGTATCGAATGGATCGTGAATATTCAAAATGAAAAGAAAGAGGAACTTGTAAAACATAGTTTATAAAAAAAAGATAGAGAAAAAGTACTTAATTTCTGTTCGAAAAGGATGGACATGGAAATTTGGGAAAAAAGAGAAAGAGAAACGGCGCGATTCTTTGCAACTTTACGTCGTTACATGTGAGAGTGAACCTAACCTTCATTGTCAAGAGACGCGTCGCTAAAAGGATAGATAAAAAAGCAAAGGAGTGTCATCGGTTTCAATTTTTATCTATCAAGTATTCGTACAAAAACAAAAGGAAAAACTTAAAGAAAGAGAAAAATAAATATGTGATATTTAGTTTTACTATACTTAATTCTGCGTGAAGCTGAAGGAAAAAACCTGCTGCCTTTTAACGGCAGTCTTTGTAAATAAATTAATCTTTGTAAAAGGAAAGGAAAAAACGCAAAGAGATGATGAACGAGAAGATGATGGACGCGCGAAGGCGCGAGAGAGAGCTGATCGGATTACGCGGAGTTCCTGAGGCTTGGAGTAGATCCCCGACGCAAATCGAATAGTACGTAGATACGATAGACACCTTCGTTAAACAGAACTTTCATGACATATTAGTAGCTTGATCATTGCTGTATTCACTCTCGTCAATTCTAACGACAGCATCCGTCGAGAAAGAATTAACGATCATGTTGTAATTTGTACGCTTTGAGGTTAGGATTGATTATGTTGCATTATTATTAATTCTTTACTCGTGTGAAATGTCCAACCTTATAAATTCGTTAAATGAATGCTATTTATACACAATACATTTAGTATAAATTTTTTCACAATTTAAAAAAAATGCATTTATCTCAATCTAAAAGACAGAATATAACAAATGTTATGGATATTCCATATTTCATAATTTAAAAAAATTAATCTTTATTTAAAGAATGTAGAGAATATGACAAATTTTTAATATTTATTTAATTGTGATTATTGTAGGATAATTTCTTATAAATTCAAATATATGAATGTTATTTGTATTCTTTATTATAATTATTGCAAATTTTTTACAATTTAAAAGAAATTGTATTTATTTTTATTAAAATAATATATAGAATATAATAAATCTTTATATATTTGTAAATCAAAGAGAACAATAAAGGATGAGATATAATATTGGAGTGTCAGAAATACATCACACAAATAATTAAGTTCAAAATCATGCGAGTAATGTAAGATTAATACATTAACTTACTAAATTGAGTTTTAAGAATTTGAATGAATTATATTAGCAGTTTATGTTGAAACAATACATCTATGTGACATAGTATTGAAGTTTTGATTTGTTATTGCATTTGCAGTAGCTCAGACGAGGAAGACCAAGATTTGAGTAAACATAAGGACAATATTTTACCAAAGGATCGCAAGAGGAAGAGACATGATGCTAAAAAAAAGGTACTGGATTAATTACAATCAAAATATTTAATCAAACAATAATATTCAATTAAATATAGTGAATGTTAAAACTTTTTAGCCAACATATAATTTTATGATAATTTTTGACAGTCTTTTTTCCAATTTATAAGTTAATAAAATTCTTGTTTGTACAAATTAAGAACACTATGGCTGCGTTCAGCAGAGAAAGCAGCTTTACAACTGTTGAAATTCTTCAATACGATTGTTTTTTGCTTTTGATTTCTTATAGATCTAAACCAATCATATTGAAGAATTTTAGATAGCTGCAAAGCTGCTTCTCTGCTGAACACAGCCAATAATTTTAAAGCTAGAGTATATTAAATACTAGATTTTTATTTATAAAAATTTTGTATCTAATACGGAAATTAAAATTAGCAGTAACTAGTATATGGAGAAATATTAATAATAATATTAAAGATTTTGTCATATTTAGAAGAGCAAGAAACTGAAGAAGGAGAAGAAGGCAAAGAAAGAGAAAAAGAGAGAAAAGAAGGCAAAGAGAGAAGCAAGGAGAGAGAAAAGGAAGAAAAAGAAAGTGAAGAAAGAAACGGACAGTAGTAGCTCTGACGATAGTGATAGCAACAGCAATAATGAGGTCTGGGTAGAAAAAACTACCGTTCTTGATAAGTCAAAGCCAAAGAAAGGCTCGAGTTCGGATGATAGTGGAGATGATGGTATGGTTGGACCCGCCCCGAAACCGCACGTAACTCTGTCAGCGAAGGATTTCGGTAAAGCCCTGCTACCAGGCGAGGGTGCAGCAATGGCAGCTTACGTCGCTGAAGGAAAACGTATACCCAGGAGAGGTGAGATCGGACTAACATCAGAGGAGATTGCGGCGTATGAGTCTGTCGGTTACGTCATGAGTGGCAGCAGGTAATGAATATCAAATATATAGAAAATTTTAATTTCTTTGATTTCTGCTTTGTAGAATGATAATAGATTTTCAACATCAAATTGAAAGTAATTATTGATTATTCAAATATTTAAAATTATGCTCGACTCACTCATTTCAATCTCATTACTTAATAGAAGTTTTCGATACCAAATAGAAATTTTAAATATCAAATAAAATATAAAACAAGATATTTTTGCTTGTTAAACAGAACTACGTTAAACATCTTTTATCATCAGTTAATAATAATAATCTTGATTTGAATCTTTTTCTATCTTTTCTAAAGGCATCGTCGCATGGAAGCGGTTCGTATCCGAAAGGAAAATCAAATCTATTCTGCCGACGAGAAGCGTGCCTTGGCAATGTTCAGCAAAGAAGAACGGCAGAAGAGAGAAAATCTTATATTGGGACAGTTTAGAGAGATGATTAATCATAAGAAAATGGCACAGGAAAAGAATTGAAGATTTCATCATGATCTATAAAACATTGATATAGATTCTTGTGTATATACATATTGTATAATTCTAAGCTTTTGTAAATTATAGGAAGATAATGTATATAAAAATATCAGTCTATGTACATATTTAAATAATTATCTGTTTTCTCAATTTTTCATGGAATAGTTTTGTGAACGGCAATCGAAAAATAATATCTAACAATATTGCATCAAAATAAAACTTTATTAGTGCAACAATAAAGTATCTCAAATGATGAATATATATATATATATATA